AAATATATATATTTTTCTTTAGAGTACAAAGTGTGGGATTTAATTTCACATGCACTTGTTTTCTCAAAACAGCCAATGAATTGGTGCATTGTTTTTTCTTTCTAGTTACTGTATTCTCATTTTCCTCGTTTTTCTTTTCAGGATTTTTAAAAATTCTTTTTTATCTGGTTTGTGGTGTCTTTGTGTATGTGTTTATTTTAAATTTTATTGCTTCTTACTGGAGACAAATAGTGACAGTAATCACAAGCATTGGGAAAGTTACAAAGGTTTAAGAAATTTTAGATAAGTTCTGTTTATGTGCCTGTTTTTAATTAAATACAAATGATACTGGGCTCATTGAACCTGCCGGCAGCTTTGGAGGCTTTTGTGTGATTTCTTTGCCAGTAGAACCAGGCCTACACTCAAGCAACCATGTCGAAGGGACCTGCAGTTGGCATTGATCTTGGCACCACCTACTCCTGTGTGGGTGTCTTCCAGCATGGGAAGGTGGAAATAATCACCAATGATGGGGGAAACCGAACCACCCCAAGTTATGTTGCTTTCACTGACACGAAATGACTGATTGGAGATGCTGCAAAAAATCAAGTTGCAATGAACCCCACCAACAGAGCTTTTGATGCCAAGTGTCTGATTGGACGAAGATTTGATGATGCTGTAGTCCTGTCTGATAGGAAGCATTGGCCCTTCATGGTGGTGAATGATGCAGGCAGACCCAAGGTTCAGGTTGAATACAAAGGAGAAACAAAGAGCTTCTATCCAGAGGAAATATCTTCTGTGGTGTTGACAAAGATGAAGGAAATTGCTGAAGCTTATCTTGGGAAGACTGTTACCAACCATGTGGCTACTGTGCCAGCTTACTGTGATGACTCTCAGCATCAAGCAGCCAAAGATGCTGGAACTATTGCTGGTCCGAATGTACTTAGAATTATCAATGAGCCAACAGCTGCTGCTATTGCTTATGGCTTAGACAAAAAGCTTGGAGCTGAAAGAAATGTGCTGACTTTTGATTTAGGAGGTGGCACTTTTGATGTGTCCTCACTATTGAAGATGGAATCTTTGAGGTGAAATCTGCAGCTGGAGACAGTCACTTAGGTGGAGAAGACGTTGACAACCGAATGGTCATCCATTTTATTGCTGAGTTCAAGTGCAAGCATAAGAAAGACATCAGTGAGAACAAGAGAGCTGTCCGCCGTCTCCGTACTGCCTGTGAACGAGCTAAGAGAATCCTGTCTGCCAGCACCCAAGCCAGTATTGAGATTGATTCCCTCTACAAAGGAATCGACTTCTATACCTCCATTACTCGTGCTCAATTTGAAGAGTTAAATGCTGACCTGTTGCGTGGCACTCTGGACCCTGTAGAGAAGGCTCTTCAAGATGCCAAACCGGACAAGTCACAAATCCATGACAGTGTCCTGGTGGGTGGTTCTACCCATATCCCTAAGATCTAGAAGTTTCTACAAGATTTCTTCAATGGGAAAGAATTGAATAAGAGTATCAACCCTGATGAGGCTGGTGCTTATGGTGCAGCTTTTCAGCCAGCCATTCTGTCTGGAGACAAGTCTGAAAATGTTCAAGATTTGCTGCTCTTGGATGTCACTCCTCTTTGCCTTGGTATTGAAACTGCTGGTGGAGTCATGATGGTCCTTATCAAACACAATACTAACATTCCTACCAAGAAGACACAGACCTTCGCTACCTACTCTGACAACCAGCCCGGTGTGCTTATTCAGATATATGAAGGTGAGCGTGCCATGACTAAGGATAACAACCTGCTTGGCAAGTTTGAACTCATAGGCATACCTCCTACACCCCCTAGTGTTCCTCAGATTGAGGTCACCTTTGATATTGATGCCAGTGGCACCCTCACTGTCTCTGCTGTTGACAGGAGTACAAGGAAAGAGAACAAGAATACCATCACTAATGACAAGGGCTGTTTGAGCAAGGAGGTCATAGAGAAGCAGTCCAGGAAGCAGAGAAGTACAAAGCTGAAGATGAGAAGCAGAGGGATAAGGTGTCCTCCAAGAATTCACTGGAGTCCTATGCTTTCAATATGAAAACAACTGTTGAAGATGAGAAACTTCAAGGCAAGATCAATGATGAAGATAAACAGAAGATTCTTGATAAGTGTAATGAAATCATCAAGTGGCTGGATAAGAATCAGACTGCAGAGAAGGAAGAATTTGAACGTCAGCAGAAGGAGCTGGAGAAAGTCTGCAATTCTATCAATACTAAGCTGTACCAGAGTGCTAATGGTATGCCTGGAGGCATGCCTGGGGTCTTCCCTGGTGGTGGAGCTCCTCCTTCTGGTGGTGCTTCCTCAGGGCCTACCAATGAAGAGGTTGATTAAGCCAACCCTAAGTATAGATTTAGCATTGTTCCACACAATAAAACATCGAAGGACCTAAATTTGTAGCAAATTCTGTGGCAGTTGTTAAAGTTTAACTGCTACAGTAAAGTACTGGGCATTCTCAATACTTGAACATGGAACATGTGCACAGGGAAAAGATAACATTGCACTTTATAAGCACTGTATTATAAGTGGAAATGCAATGTCTTCAATAAAAGTATTTAAAAATTGGCACCAAAAAAAATGAAATGGGCCATTTAAAAACGTTTATAGAGCACTTGCTTTCAACTAGAAACAAATATCATTGATTAAGCAGTTTCTCTAAGTACAGTGCTAAGTTTTTTATGTGTAGTATATTTTTAATAACAAGACCTACTCTAAGAAATAAGTACTGATATCCCCACTTGACATAAGAATAAACTGAGCCTCACAGGATAAAAGACTTGGATAAAAATTTATACATGGCGGAACCAATATTTTAATTCAGGTCAGTATAATAATAAAGGCTAGAATTTGTAGTCTTATATTTACAGTCTGTCTTGATCCAGCAGGTGGCCCTTTGAGATAGCATGTTACGACTCATAAGCCTGCTCACAGGCTTTTGTATAAGAATGTAGCACCCTGGCCTGTGCTTTTTTGATTGGTCAGTGCCTGGGCTGTAGGTTTTTGTTACTTTAAATAAAGGTCTGATTATTACTGCAAATACTGTATAGCCTGATTAATGTTAAGTAAAACAGTGACCTACATAACATTAATACATAAATGTTATATGTGTGTTTATATACATTGTAGTAAAACATCATTCGACACATATCAATTGACTATACATTTATTGAGGTCAGAGACTATCTTCTGTAGCTTTTCTAGTTTACACTGTCTAAAGTAGTGATAAATATAAATTAGGTGAATGAGTTTTTTTGTGTGTGTAATTGTTAATGCTTTAAAAAGCCAAATTTCTGTATCTTTAGGCCCGAGAAGGCCGGACCACCATTGTGATAGCTCATCGCTTGTCCACAGTTCGAAATGCTGATGTCATCGCCGGGTTTGAAGATGGAGTCATTGTGGAAAAAGGAAATCATGAGGAACTCATGAAAGAGAAAGGCGTTTACTACAAACTTGTCACAATGCAGGTCTAGTACCTCAAATTTTCTTAAATTATCTTAGTTCTAAACTGATATTACTGTGATAGTGCTGAAAATAAATGTTATTTGATGTGATTATCTTGAAAAACAGGAAAAATAAGGGAGTAAGGAAAAGATGAATTTTTTTCTTAAAAGATAAGAATGTAAGAAGGATAAAGGAAAGTATAAAAGGTTTAAAGGTAAGCTCTCTACTATGGGAGCCACTAGCCACGAGTGGCTACTGATCATTTGAATGGAGGTTGAACTGAATTGAAATGTTGTAAGTAGAAAATCCAAGCAAGGTCTATTACAAAGAATGCAGACTATCTCAATGATTTTAATGATAGACTGCATGTGGAAATGAAAATATCATTGGAATCAACAATATCTTCAATATAATAGGTTAAATAAAATATATAATTAAAATTCATTTTACCTCTTTTTCACATTTTTTAATGTGACTCCTAGAAAATTATTAATGACAAATATGACTCACATTATGTCTTGAATCATATTCTGTTGTCTGCTGTGGTTCAAAACAAACTTGGCTGAGCCAAATACTCACAGAAGGAAGACAACTACATAAAATATTTGGAAGAAATACGTTATTTTAGGATACCCAGTGGGAATCCTTCTTATTCAGTCATTTTCGTTTTCAAGTATATTATACCAAAACTAATAGTGGTTTAACACTATCCTTTCTTATTATCATTTAAATTGTTGTTTCCTTGCTGTCTGATGTTGAATTATTAATTTTCATTGGTTAACTCTGTCTACCAAACTGATTCATATTTCTTGTTTATTTTAGACAGGAGGAAATGAAATTGAATTAGGAAATGAAATTTTTGAATCCAAAAGTGAAATTGATGCCTTGGTATCTTCAAAAGATTCAGGATCCAGTCTAATAAGAAGATCAACTCGCAGGAGTACCCTTGGATCACAAGGCCAAGACAGAAGGCTTAGCGCAAAAGAGGACCTAGTAAGAAAGACAAGAGTTTTGTGTCCTGTGTCTTCCTAGCTGGGTGGGCTTGTACTACTGTAGGAGTGGGAACAAGAAACGATTTTTCAGAACCTCCTCTCCTGTTGTTTAGAGAGATTCATAATCCAAAATGTCAATGCTTTTTAATCAGTTAAAATTTGAGAGTAAGGAATCACAAAAAATGCTTACCTGGCAGGGGAGATACCATGATCAAGAAATCACATAAAAGTTCTGTGATTTATGAGTACTTACATATATTCTTGTCATCTTCTAAATGCCAGACTAAGAGTTAAAGCTTTGTTGAAACATCATTTCTGAAAAATCAAAAGGGTACTATAAAAATCTGTTAGCACTTTTTTTTTGGAAGGGGAAACCACCAAGAAAAATAGAGTATATTTACTTTTTAAAAAAATTCTTTTATTGGAACATTTTAGGTATACAGTGCATTTATATTTATCATTCGGTGGTTGTACCTGAGTACATTTACTTTTTATATTTGTACATATGTTCGAACTGTACAACATAATATCCATTACTACTTTTTAAAAAATAAGCTTGTTGTAATGTTTTATGTTTTCTAGGATGAAAATATACCTTCAGTTTCCTTCTGGAGGATTCTAAAGCTGAATTTAACAGAATGGCCTTATTTTGTGGTGGGCATATTTTGTGCCATTGTAAATGGAGGCCTGCAGCCAGCATTTGCAGTAATATTTTCAAGGATTATCGGGGTAACTGTTCATGTCTGTTGTTTTTTGCATTTGCTTATAAATGCCGATGGAGGGATGACTGTACTGTTTGTATTTGTAGTAGTACACACTGTGGCAAAAACCAAGACCCTTCATTTGAATCCATGAGACTAGAAGTCTAGTTGGTGAGAGGAAAGCTAACTTTAGAAAACCTCCTTTGTCCTGGTTTCTGTCCAAGTCCCTGTTGATTTCTATCATAGGTCCCTGGGGAACAGCTCCCTAAAACAGTCAGTGAGACTGGCAAGATGACTTTCCTATGCCTGCCACCATGGGGCTCTGAGCAAACCCTTTTTTTGAGTTTGATCTCTGGTACTGAAAAAAAAAAAAAGAATGAAATACAAAGTGACAACTTCCTGAAGAAGTTGAAAAGAGATGGACATATTGGTTTTACTTTATCTCAATGGTGGCATTTTTGATAAGAAAGTTACAATCTGGGCAGATGGACTGTCTTTCTAGAGGCTGATTTTCACCCATCAAGCTGAAAACCCCCTTGCCATCCTGCCGAAGACCTTGAGCATACCTTTGTCATATTGCTGGATGATCACCACAAAATGTAAACCATACGCTAACTTTTGATTTTACAGGAAAAATGCTGGACTATTCAAGCCTGCTCTTGCTTGGCTAGATCATTTCAGGTTATATTTACATTTAACGTACTCATATTTTTCCACTTGTCATGTTGAGGTAGGAAGATCTCAAGTTTGATGCCAGTCAAGGCATCTTGTCCTGTCTCTGTCAAAAAATAAAAATAAAAGATCAAGAGGTACAGCTTAGTGTGAAGCCCTGGGTTCAGTCCCTAGTACTACAAACAAACAAACAAAGCCCTGTATGTTCTTTCTGCCAGGTATTTTTTATATATTGAAAAAATACCAAGGTCTACAATGTCTGATCCCATGAACCACACACTCTAGTTCAGGGCACAACAAACTTTTCCTACCAAGGGTAAGAGAGCAAATATTTTATGTTTTCAGGGCCTGTGGTTTGTGTTGGAAATACTGACTGGATGTTGGTGACCCAGGTTTGGATCTGAATCCCCTAGGTAGTGGGTCGGCAAAGTCATGCACCCCTTTGTAAACAGTGGACCTTTTTCAGATTGCCTGGGTCTGTATTCTAGAGTTATCCCTTGCTGGCTGTGTTACCTTGAGGAAGTGAATGTGTCAGTCTGTGCTGCAGTCTCTGTCTGTGAAATGGGACTTGCAGAGATGGTTGTGAGAATAAACGGAACAGTACACATGAATTTGTTTTCAGTAATGCCTGGCACAGAGTAAGAATACAGTGATCTTTGACTATTATTTGTTTTTTTTGAAATGACTGATCCAGAAAAATGAATTTCTTTTAAAATAAAGTACGAAGTTAGGGCTGGGTTAGAATTGCATCTCTCTTATGAGACTGATTTGGCTCTGTGAAAGGAGATATGTATGGGTTGTTCACAGTTTTCCTTAAGCCCAAGACATTCTGTAGCCCTTCTAACCATCTTCTAGAAAGGTTCCCTTGAATGGCGCTAGGTGAGCTGCCTGTAGTTCCCCATTGGCTCTCTAACTGGCCATTGTACAAGAAATGCTGGTTCACAACCACCTTTCTTTCCGAAAAGCCTGGGCTGAGTAAATGAGCACCTCTCTGTGTTCACCAGATTTTCCCCAGATGCCTTGAAACAGCTTGAAATATCCCAGCGAATTGCCATCCAACACAGTTCTCACCAAGAGAAGAGAAATGTGTTTGATTTCCACTTTGCAGACTAGTGTAGCATTCAGTACTCAAAAGGTTACCTGAAACAGGGGATTTAGCTCAGTGGTTCCAGCGCCTGCCTCGAAAGCGCAAGGTCCTGAGTTTGATCCCTGGTACCAAAAAAAAAAAGAGGTTACCTGAGCAGGAGAAGCACCAGGTCAGTGTGTGAATGACAGGCCCTCTGTTGGTCTCTAAGGAAGGCAGAATACAGGTAGATGGTGGAGAGACTGGCATTAGGGAGGCCAGTTCTCATTTCCAGTGTGCTAAGGCTCTCCCCACCCCAAACCGTGCCAGACAGGAAATGGGTCACACACAGTGTGAGTAAACTAACAACCTTCAAATATTTTCTTCATAGGTGTTTACAAGAAACGATGATGCTGAAACAAAACGGCAGAACAGTAACCTGTTCTCACTATTGTTTTTAATCCTTGGAATTATCTCTTTTATTACATTTTTCCTTCAGGTAAATGTCTACATTTTTACTTTACTCAATTTGGAGGAATCTCTAAACATCTGCATAATTTCCCCTTGAGTTGAATTGGCCCTCGGTGAACTTGGCTATTAGTTGTTTTGCATTCTCTGCCTCCCTTGCTCACCTCATCCTCCTTCTCACCCCCTCCCATGTGGAAATAGCGATGAAATCGAGGGAGTAGATTGTTTGCTCGTGTTAATGATTGAAAGTCAAAGTGGGGAGTTGAAAATGGCTTTGGGAAGCCCTGGATATGTTTAGATGTAGGCATCGCTGGTCAGTTTTAATATGCAAAGAAATGTTTTCCTGTATTGTATAAACAACAAATTAAACTTCCTCATTCACCTTTTGCTAAAGGAAAAAGAACTCTTTTAGTGAAGGAAGAATGCCAATTCTCAAATAAAAACTGTAGGAACTATTTATAGTTTCAGATTTACAGGTTGCATATCATTTGGCTGAAATAAAACTATAAAGAAATTAAGTGCTCTGAAAGTTAAGGTAAGGAATTGTAATTTTGGTGTATTAGCTTTCTGTCCTTGTGACAATATACCTGAAAATAACAAGTTAAAGAAGAGAAAGTTTGTTTTATCTACTTTTAAATTTTTATTAGCATGTTTGGCATACATAATGAGTGCATTCATCATGGGGAGTTAGTACATGTATGTAATACATCTTCATTCTAAAACCTTCCTCTCCCCTGACCCCTCATTTTTTGATGTTAAATTTTTTGAGATTTTATATATTCTAGACTTTAATCCTTTATCTAAAGAGTAACTGGCAAAAACTACTCCTATTCTTTAGGCTGTCTTTTCACGCTGACTTTTGTTTTCTGTTCAGAAGCTTTAAATGTAACGTAGTACCATATATTGATTTTTGCCGTTATTTTTTGTTTATTGGCATCCTATTCAGGAAATCTTTGCCTGTGCCTATGCCTGTGACTTCAAGTGTTTTCCTATGTATCATTTAGCAGTTTCAACCTTTTGAATATTATAATTTCCTATTACCCATTTTGAATTCATTTTCATACACGGCAAGAATAAGGATCTAGTTTCGATCTTCTACATAGAGACATCCAGGTTTTGTAGCACCATTTGTTAAAAAGGCTATCTTTTCTCCAGTGTACAAGTGGTGATTGAATAATACCATGAATGTTTAAATTAAACAAACTTTATTACAGTGAAAGAAACTCCAGACACCCTCCCTTACTTCAAAAACACTTATCCCATCATTCTTGCCACTTTCTAAATTATGGGATATAATCAAAAGTACAGTGAATGCTGTTGGTGCGTGTCATCCAGTAGAAAGACAGGCTAATGAAAATATGGTGTGTCGTCATTGTCCTTATTCACTACATCTGGTACTGTGTAACTTCTGGGTCTTCCCCAAAGTGAAAATGACCATGGAAGGTGCATGTTTTGAATCAACTCAGGACATCAAGGCAGCCACGGCAGCATAACTAAAGATATTCATGTAAGTGGTACTTCCAGAACTGATTCAGAAAGTGGTAAGAGCAGTGGGATAAGTGTGTTCAAAGTGAGAGTTAATGTTAGAGGGACATTCATGGCAGTGTATCTTTTACTGTATTGATTTTTTTATTCAACTGCACACTGCATGTTTTTGGTCCCTTAGTCAAGAATCAAATAGCTGTAGCTTTGTAGGTTTGTTTCTGTGTCCTCTGTTCCGTTCCGTTGGTATGTGCGTCTGTACTTGTGCCTGTACCATCATAGTTTTCTCACTGTGGATTTGCAGTGTAACTTGAGCTTCAGTATTGTCACTGACACAGGGTGTCCCCAGGGACCCTGGACTATAGTTGTCCCATGACTTCTGGTCCTCCGGAATAGCTCAGTTTCAAACAATGGGCATCCTCTGAGGATAGATTCTGGCTATAACACTGAAAAATATGGCCAGTGCTGCATTGTATTCTTCTCCAAAGCGAGCCTGCCATGGAGGAGGAGTCACTTTCAGAGAACCCTCAGGCTAGATTTACAGATTAGGATAACCTTGGTTTCTTCTGGCTGGGCAGCTGGTCCATTGTTTATCACTAGGGCTGCCGGCTCCAGGCTTACTTTGTACTTGAAGAGTTGAATCACCCACTCCCCATAGCTGGTTTGATGCTCCTGACTGCCTCATACTTTTCACTGCCTCACATTCTGTCTCTGTGATTTTTAGGTTTTCTGTCACCTCTTTTTTGATTCCTGCAGCTCTTTCTCTCTTCTCATTTCTCAGCTTCTCATTTCTCACTTGTGTATCTTCTCACTTGCAGATCCATGCAAAGGATACTCCTTTCTATTGCACCATTTCACATAACACCCAGAGTTTGGGATTCATCCACTGGAAAACTAAGAGCTTGACACCTTTATTGTCTACCAGTCTTATGGGCTGGGATCACCATAATTCACTGTTTTCTCAGATTACATTAGTTTCTTATATAACAGGACCCCTTTTAATAGAACTCCTATTCATTTTCATGAGTGTCCCATTAAATGATACATGATGTGGCCACCCTATTTCCAGTGTCCCCTACCTTGGGCCCAATTCCAGCTTTCTCAGCCATAGACCCATGGTCATTAGGAAAACAAGTAGGGCTGAAAGTAGGAGGACAGAGAAACCTATTTGTAATAAATCTCTGGTCACTTTGGCTGTGAAATTGGTGGCTGAGTCTCTGACAGCTCTCCTGTGTGACATGTTCTTTTTCTTTATAGGGCTTCACATTTGGCAAAGCTGGAGAGATCCTCACCAGGCGGCTGCGGTACCTGGTTTTCAGGTCCATGCTGAGACAGGTATGTCTGCTGAGGGTTGAGCCCTGGGATGTGTGGGACTCCCATGGACACCCAGGATGCAGCTCCTGTACTTGTTGTTTCTCATTGTCATCTCCTAGATGGGACTGAAGTCCTGTAAACTGTTTACTGCAGGGAAACACCAGGGCCTGCTCAGTGGAGATATAAGTGGAGTCTCCTGACTGGATTTGCCTCTAGCTTTTGTCTCAGCATTTATAGGGAGTGTAGGCAAAAGTGATCTTCATTTCCCCTCCCTTTCCCCCTCTCTTTCTTTCCTCCTTTTTTCAGAACCTCAGGATCCTCATCCTGTTTCTTCAAGAGATACTTGTTGCCTTCTTTTATTCCACAAATCCAAACTTACAACCATGGCTCATTTCTCACTTCCTGGTGTCTTTGAATCAGTAGACTAACGTACTAATTCAAGCTCGAGTGTTCCTTGCTAATAATGACTTAATGGAATGTCTCCCACATTTTGTACCTTTGCAGCCCTAACAGTGGATAATGTGAATATTTTCCTTAGAATGGGCACTAGGAGGTGTTGGGTGTGGTGGTGCATCCCTGTAGTACCAGGCCCTCTGGGAGGTAAGGATTGCAAGTTCAAGTTCAGCTTGGACAGTTTAGTGACTTTGTGAGACACTGTCTCAGAAAAAAATATATAACAATAAAAAATATATAAAGATAAAAAAGGATTGGAGATGTGGCGCAGTGAAAAGGCCCAGGGTTCAATCCCCAGGACAAACAAACAAGAATGAAAGAAAAGAAAAAAGAAAAGAGAGAGGAGGAAAAGAAACAAGGAAGAGAGAGAGGATTTGAAGACTGTAATAGCATTTATATTCAAAGAGGAAAGGTTGTTTAATAATCAAGAAAATTTTATATGTAATTTAATACCTTTCATTTTTAAAACCCTTAATCACTTGCCATTGAATAAAATGATTCTCTCGAATTTTGCCCCAGATGTGCCAGGGGTGCCGAAACCCCAGGCAGTAAACATAGGTTTGTTCTGTAAAGATTTCTAGAGGACGCTCATATTTTCCTGGCTGGATCTGCCTCTGTAGTCCTGTCTCATCTTCCTACCACCAACTAAATCGTCCCATTTATGAGAATTGGAGCAAGTGTTGTGCATGCGGAGCCAGGATGACTCTGATGAGTAAGAGAGCACTGTTGGATGGGGGCCTTGCCTTGTTTGCTGCACATCTAACCACATTTACAACTGAAATTCCCCTTGGGTGAAGGCTGATCTTGCTCCAGGGCCAAATGTCGTAGTATCCCAGCCAGCTCTCAGCCAATTCCTTTGTCCCGGGCCCATTGTCCTTTGAGAGCAGGGTTAACAGACAGCGTGATGCCCTCTCCATAAGTTGTTAAATAGAAAAACATACTAAGGCCTTTTGCATGCCAGCAGTATTACTGTTTGTAAGGAATTCATATCCAGATTGTGTCTGTCCTCGAGAGAGTTACTGTCCAGTAGGGAGAAAATTAAGCACTTGAGATACTAGAAAACAAATTTATGTATGCTATAAAAATGATAAGCTACTGCTTTAATGCAAATCATCAGCACAGATAACTTGTTGGAGATCATAAGTATTTGTGACAGATATAATTCATACTTCAGATTCACAATTTTGTATATCTGTATTAAAAAATATAAACAATTTTACAAAGAAAATCCTATTTCATATTGAATGTCACATTTTAATCTAGAGGAGTTTTGTTGTTGTTGTTGTTGTTGTTGTTTTTTGGTACCAGGGATGGAACTTAGGACCTTGTGTTTGTGAGGCAGGCAGCGGAACCACTGAGCTAAATCCCCGGCCTGAGGAGGTTCTTGAATATGTTTTTAATTCATTTCTTCCACACTGAGCTACAGTTATCCTAATGCTTGTTCACCTTGTTTCTTTATTTGGATATCTAGTAAATGCTTCATAGTTTAATATTTTCACCTTGAACCTTTCACTCACATATCCCCTTCCTGCTGACTCTTTGTCCACATCAGTAAATGAGGGCGCCACTCTACACATCATCCCGGCTGAAAACCTTGGGGACTCCTCTCTCTCTGCCTAATGTTGCAGTAGCCTCCTCCCAGTTTCCTCATCCCAACCGCATCAAAATTCAGTAGCTTCATTTCATAACAGGCAGTTATTCTTCTAAAAGAAAGTTAAGCCACATGCTTTTGTCCCAAACCTGCCAAATATTTGTGTATTCCAAGGTGAAGACTAGAATCTTTAGTTATCTAAAGGCGGACATGATGTGTCCCTCCCTGTACTTCTCAAATCTCATCACTAACAACTTCCTCTATACGGAAACCCCATAGTGTATACCTCTGTATACAATATATACACCATACTTTAGATCATTGTATGAGTGTGAGAGAGCTACATGAGGACCGAAATGTTTTCAGAGGAAAAGGCACCTTTTGCAAATACACATATATTTGTTTTTAGGCTCCTGGCAGCCTGTAAGATTTTCTTGCTAGTGTATGAATAGATTATTTGTGGCTTTGCCCCAGGGCCTTGGATGGGGTGTTTCTTTCTTTCCTTATATATTCTCATGCCATCCTTCAGTTAGGTCTCTGATGAAATGTCATCATAAAGAGGGCTTCTCTGTTCCTTCCTCAGTTTTTTTTCCCTCCTCAGTTTCTAAAACAGCATCTTCCCTCACTTTTATGTCCTTACCGTGCTGTATTTTTCATTATAACATCTTTTACCACCCGAGATGATATAGTGTAGGTAATAATGCCTTCTGTCTCTAAAACCTGGACTTTATGAATAAACAGCAAATTTATTGTTACTCTTCATTGTTCTGTTCAACACTTAGAAATCATGGTTGGGACAAAGAATTGTTTCAAGAAATACTTTTTAAAATTTATGTAATTTTTATTACTGTATGTTTGTGATACATAATATGTACATTAATCATGAGAAATTAGTACTCATGACTATTGCATCTTTTTTTATAGAGGTAGCAGTGCTTGCAGAATGTAGACGAGGGAACAAAAACTCATTATGGTGATGTTTAATGGGGACTGTGTTTTGCATAGGCTACACTGAATATTATAAATAGTCACAGTGTAGCATTTGAGGTTTTTTTGACTTAAAATTGACAGGTAGCATCATATTTTTGATCATGTATAACAAGGTGTTCTGAAATAAATATACATTGGAGAATGGTTAAGACTAGGTAGTTAAAGAAAGTATTACGGCATGATGTTATCATTTTTCTGGTGAGAGCTTTTTTTAAAATTTTATTTTATTGGTACATTTTAGGTATACAATATAATGACATTTATCAGTGGAAATTTGCACCTTTACATAATCTCTCTTGGTTCATACTTTTTCCCCCTTCCCCTGCCCTCCCTTCAACCCCTCCATCCCTCCCTATTTACAAAGACTTTGTTTCCATTTTTCATTTTCTCATATTATCATACATTACCGATTATTCATTCTAATC